CCACATTGTACCCTCCCTGGCAGGCGGGCTGGAGATCCGGGATAAAGGCAGAGGCTCCCTTCAGGTGCAGAGGGCTGTGCAAGACAGTGGCAGGAGCCTCAGATCATGCTAGAAGTAGGCTGCTGCCTGCAGGTGGCGAGAGCTCAGCCTTGCCGGTGCCAGCGGGAAGGTAGCTGGGGCTTCACGGTGCTTTGGCCTGGGCCTGCGGGTTCCCTCCTGGATCCGTCTGTGGGGAGGGAAGACCTGTTTGGGAGGGAGACTGATTGCGAAGGAAAGGCCTCGGGTTCACTCGGGGCCTGGCTGAGTGGGATCATGGTCTGTGGTTGAGATGGACTGACTCTAACTCTGTAGTTTTAAGAAATCGCTAGACAAAAGCAAAAAAAGTGGCATTTTGTGGTTTTGAGACTTAAAAAAGAAGTCTCTGCTAGATGTGGGCTTGTTGAGACTCCTTGGCTTGGCCTTCGGACTTGAGTCAAAAGGAGAGACTTCTTCATCTTCATCCCCCCTCCAGCTGGCTGGTTCTGGGGGCCACATCTAGAGCAGGGGGCCCTCTGGTGAGACTGCCCACCGGGCATACTTAGAGAGGCTGTGAGCTCCTTGGGATGTGATCCCACATCTGGACAGCCCAGAGGGAAGTGCTGAGCCAGCCCTGGGTTCTCCATGGCTCTAGGCGCCTGTTTGGGCCAGAACACAGTCTGTTCTGAGTTCCGGGGGAGGTGGCAGGTGCCGGCATGGGGCCTGCACCCTGCGTGGAGAGAGCACGTCTGCAGACAGCCACGCTCACTGTGTCATGGCACCCCGCCTCCATGCAGTGGCAGTTCCGAGCCCGAGAAAGGCCCAGCATGCCTGGGAGCACTGCAGAGCGCGGTGGGAGGCCTCTGACTTGACCCCAGCCCAGACACTGCCTCCTGTTGGGCCCTGCACCACTACATGACTGGTCTCATAGCAGAGAACGATGCCACTGGAAAAATGGCTCGACTGCCCGGCAAATCTTAGAAGAGCAGACTGAAATAAGTCATTGAAATGGCGTAGCAGTTTCTGAGTGGATGAAGCAGACCTGAGAGTGAATCTCAGGCCGTGGTGCCCAGGTGTGAAAGTGTCACAGTCACAGTCTTTAAGAACAGATATTAAGTAGGAAATTGGCAAGGATTTAATGTCCAGACGATGTCATCTTGCACAGCCCCACAGTCCTGAAGCACGCTTAGGGGCTTGGGCACATCCCCGGGACCCGGTGGGCAGGCAGGACGTGGCCCGTCACCCACAGCCGCCCGGCAGCCGCAGACACGGGCCCACAGACCGAGTTCCATCCCCCTCCGGACACTGTGGGCCACTGCTCAGTGGCTTTTCCTTTCTGCTGGGGTTTTTAGCAGAAGGAGGGCCCACCGGTGTCAGCCAGTCGGAAGTGACCTCAAGTCTGCTGTTCCTGAAAACGGCCATTCTGATGAAATCCGGTAAACTTGAAAAGGGGAATCAGTATTTTCTTCTCTGGTGTTTTCCAAATTGCTTATACTTTATCTTACTTTTATCTATCTTACTTTTAAGATCAGGTCTCTCACTGCTGGCAGGTTTTTAAAATAAGTGTCAGTGCAGGCAGGGCCTTTCATCTAAGACACACACAGATGGGCACAGCTCGTGTGCCTGCATAGGTAGGATCACGCTGTGCACACTGTGGGGAGCATTGTCACTGGACTCGCTATCTTGAGAGCCTTTCATCTCAGTGGCAGCTTTATTCTTTTTCATGGCCATGTAGTATTCCAACCAAAGTTTGCATACTTTCCATATATAGTTTGTATACATGGGAATGTGTGCTCATACAGCATCTTTACCAGTTTGGAGGCACACACACCTGCCTAGGTGAGAAGTTCTTGCTAGGGGTGGCCCAGGAGGCTGCCCTGGGAACTTTACACCCCCACTGTGACCCCTCTGCAGCAGCCTGTCCCACAGGTGCCCTTCTCAGAGATAAAAATGCTCTTTATTTCACTGTGTAAGCCCCCTGGGACAGGGCCAGTGTGCTGGGGTTGATCACCTTTGAGGCCCCCACTATACATCACCCCCGGCACCATGGCGAGGGGCTTTCAGGCTGCTGCCAGGAGAGTATGAATGTGAACCCAGCAAACCAGCATAGAGCCCTGACCTCCCCTTGTGGGAGGAAGCTGGAGGGGCCCCAGTAATGGTGGAGTTAGATGTGCTGGCAGCCAAAGCCCACTTTTTTTCTTTTTAAATAATAGTTTATTTTTACATCATTTCATGTCTTTTTCCATCTCAGCTATAATCCCAGTGGGCTTCCCATCACCAAATCACCTGTGTGCCATCACCATAGTCCATTGCACTCCCCCCTGCCCCCTGTTTTTGATCCCATTCCCCACCCTACCCCCGTAAAATGTCTCTGGTATATATGTTGTTCATTATTATTTCTTCCCACCCCCACCCCCCGTCCCGGTCCTTTATACTCCTGCTATGAGTGAAACCATCCGGTATTTTTCCTTTTCTTTCTGGCCTATTTCACTCAGCATGTTCCCTTCCAGCCCCATCCATGTTGCTGCAAAAGGCATGAGTTTATCTTTTTTGGTTGCTGAGTAATATTCCATTGTGTACATGTATCACATCTTTTTAATCTAGTCACCTACTTTTGGGCATTTGGGTTGATTCCACATCTTTCCTATTGTAAATAAAGCAGCAATAAGCATGTGGGTGCAGGCATTAAACCCCACTCTTTTAAGGTCGGCCTAATTGGCCAGGCTCTCGGAAAGAGTGGCAGTCGATTCTTACGCTGTACTTCCTCGGTGCCAGACGCTGCTTTAATCGACACCCAGGGTGTCCTTCACACAGGCCATTCACAGATCTTCCACCACCAAATGAGGTGGGTACTATTATCCTGCCAGCTTTCTGGACGAGGAGACAGAGGCAGAGATGACATACCTTCCCCCTAGGAGACACAACTAGAAAGTGGAGAGGCCAAGCCTGAACCCAGGTCACTGACTGCAGAGCCCCATGCTCCGGTCCCCACCCCTGTGTCTTCTGCATATCCAAAAAGAGACGGCTTGGCTGCTTCTGTGGGGAGGACCTTTAAGTGAGGTTGCATTGCAGAACAGCAAGAGTCTGCAAGAGAGGCCCACCAGGCTCGGCTGCACAGGTGTCACAGGCGGCCCCAGGCCGCAGCTGTCGGAACCTGGGTGTCAGGGCTGCGTGGGTCCTGTACCTGTGGGGTTGGGGGTTGTGGAGGGGCGCGAGGGCCAGGTTTCGGGTGTGTGAGAGCGAAAACACTGTTCTTTTCGGATTCACCTCATCCTTTTTTGGCAAATGGGCATTGTATTCCCCCTGGGTCCTGATAAATAGGAGATGCAGAGTTGAGGGACTTGGTTTGCAATTACTCAGAATCGTGTCTTTTGTATACTACAGCATAGTGATAACTAATTATAGCTTGTGGGTTTTTCTGTTGAGAAGGAAGAAAAAATTGCCTTGTAAAAGATGCAGAAAAGCGCCTCGCCTTGGGCCATTTGAGGTCAGGAGAGATTATTTTTACTCAGGAGCCCCTGAGTGAGAGTCTGTTGGGGCGGGTACATGTGATGGCTTGCCTTGAAGACCGAAAATGGACACCTTAAGTCCAAGTGAGAGCTTATCATGAACTCCGGTACCCCAAACCTGCCGCCCCCCTCCCCCATTTTCGTTCCTTGGAATTTGGATGACTGTGATGAGAGCCAACCAGAGAACAAGGGTTCTGCCTTTTATAGTGTGATGCAGGCTTCGCTAGCTTCCATAAGAGAAAGTTCCGCAGTGTGAAGTCTTGGCACTCCCGTTATTTAGCTAGCCCTCTTATTTCTGGGCGGCTTGTTTTTTTTCTCTGCTGAGGTGTACTTAAGTACCAGCTGTGTGACAGCTCATCAGCTCTGCTGTCCTGCCCCTTGGTGGTGCCCACCCCTCCCTGGCCTTTAAACAGAAGACTCTGGTTCCTTGCATGAGAGACCCTGACCTCCTGTCTCACATTTGCTTATTTGGCCATCAGAAGCAGCCACTGCCATCACTGGGACCTGAATCAGTCTGGAGCCCTCTCAAGGCAGCCAGGGTCTCATTTGCTAACTTAAGACATTATTTAAAATTCATTGGGGTCAGTCACTGGAGGGCCCAGGGAACCCCAAACAACTTGTGCCATTGTAATATGTAAGAATGGGATGCATGTGGGTCTCTGTGCATAGGGGCGATGGGAAGGGTGGGGCCTCAACCATATTTTCAGGGTCAATATCCTGCTTCTTATGCTGTCTTCAAACAACTGGCAGTGAAAGGAAAACAAAAGTGCATCAACCACACAAACATTGATGTTTGAGTCTAAGGTTGACGAGCAATGTTGGAGCGTTCCCAGCCACAGAGGGCCGGCGTTCCTGTCACTGCTGCAAGGCCTCTGTAATTCCATGCGTGCGCGTGATGTGGGTTCTGCTGTTCTGGTTCCTTGTCTCGTTGTGATCCTACCGCACTTGGGGATTCCTATTTTGGGTAGGGGGAGAGGCTCCATCCTGCACTATGCAGAGATAACAAACACTGCAGACACTTGCTGCACCACTTCTAGAAATTCTTCTGTTTAGCTTGAAAACAAATTGGGTCAATACGTCATGTGTCTTTGCCTTTTCCCTTCATTACCCCACAACTTGGATTTCCATATGTGCTATGGGATATGTCTTGTGTCTGAAGCTCAGACGGATTGATGACATTGTTTGATCAGTGGACTCAGGACTGGACTAAACCATCGTGAATGGCTTGTTTTGCAGCCAGTGGCTGGGTACCATCTCCGGCACCTCGGCTCAGGGGCACGGGCTCTGTTTAGAGGTGAATGATGGCACACACTGGCCCCTCCTGCTGTGTGCCCGGACCCGGGGGTGGGGGAAGAAGGCGTCCAGAGAGATTTTTTTGAATGCAGTTTCTTTTCCAGGGCTCTCCAGGAATGATGCTGAGTTTATGTTGATCATCAGGTTAAGTATTTATATGTTCTTGTTTCCCATTATTTTCAGAGCAGAGATCTCTGAAGACACCTTCCAGAAGCAGTCAGAAACTTTCACAGGGCATGAGATAAAGGTAAAATCATTTCGTTTCTCCCTCTCTATTCCGAGCTCACTCCTGGTAGACACCTCCCTGAATTCCAGCTGAAGGTTGTTCCTTGCTTCCCATGTGATTTGGGGGACAGAGGTCCACACCCAGCCGACCAGGATCAGGCTGAGCTCAGAGGGTGTGGTGGCGCCCCTGAACTCTGCGTAGCCCTGTCTGCTTTCCTCTTTCCCATGGCTTCCCCTGCCCTGCTTCTGTGCCCCTCTCCCGTGGACTGATGGCCCCCGTCTAGCCCAGAAAAGCTCCCTCCCGGGGGGATGTGAGGACGTCATCAGTGAGGTGTGATGTGAACAGAGGACCGTCCATGTCACCCGGCCCTGGCTCTGGCCCTGGCCTGTTCTGTGATGCTCTTAGCTGTGGTCAATTCCAAACCACGTATGTCCAGTTTCAGAGGAAGAAAAACGCCAGATTAGTTAGTACACGCCCACGCCCAGGGCGCCGGGCTCCTCTACCGCCCTCCCTGCTTGGTCTCCGTGGCCCCCACTGGCCTCTGCTGTTGTCTGCCTGCCGGTGGGCATGACAGCGTCCCGGACCTGCTTGGCCGCTTCGGTGGGGCCGCCTAATGCGCGCGGCTCTAGCCCAGGGACTAGTCCAGGGATGCTCAGTACTCTCCATGCTGGTTGTGTCCAGACACGTGCTGGCTGGACCAGGCCCTGCGGCGCTCCGAGCTCCGAGGGCGGGTCACCCACTAGGAGCGCCACGCCTTGGCACTGAGCACACAGGCATTTTGTCTTAGGACTTTGTTTGTTACCTCCTTTATTTTAAAGAAATATGTTGGGATCTATGGCTATAAAAGCATTGAAAGCAAAGACAAGCTCTCGTTCAGCGCTGTTAGTAGTGAGAGAATCCCAGTGCAAAAACCCTGTTGTTTTTACCTCGCTGTCAAAAGCAGTAAACAAAACGGCTTCTCACTTTTTCACCTAACTGAGAAAAGGGCAAAGAAATAAGGACATCCTAACGACCACATTGGATGTTTGTCAACAGAGTACGGGGTGGGGGGGTGGGAATAATGCGTTTTCATGAGATGATTTTTCACAAGACTATGTAAAGTGTACTTCATTGTTTACAAAGCAGACATGAAATGTAAGTTCTCTTCCTTCCCCACTGGTCCCATGGTTAACATTTGGGTCTGTGCCTTTCCCCGGAATGTGTATGTGTCTGTCCGTCTGTGTGTGTCCATGGTCTGTGTGTATGTGTGTTGGCCTGTGTCTGTGTTTGTCTGTGCGTGCAGTGTGCCCCTGTGTGCCTGTGTGTATAGCCACGTGTCCTGTGTCTGTGTCCCGTGTGTCTCTGTGAATCTGTGTGTCCCTGTGTATCAGTGTGCATAGCTTGCAGCCATCTTTGAAATCAGGAACGTTTTAAAAATTAATGCAGATAAATTTCAGTTACACCGTAGCTTTCCAACATAATCTCCTTTGCCTAAGGTTGCCCCTGTGTCCAACACTGCAGCCCCATGCTGGGGCACAAGTTTGAGTGCTGTTGCAGGCTCGCCTGGGAGGAGTGGGGACGTCTGCAAGAGCGGGGTGATGTGTGATGCTGTGCCTCTCCTGTCCAGAGATCCTGTTGAGTCACGACCGGGACACAGCCCTGGTCTCAGCATTTCTGACCCAGCCCCGCTGTGCCCAGGAGTGATGTCCAGTCCAGAGAGTCTGAGGGTGCCCAGGAAGGTGCCAACAGGGAAAGTCGGGTCTGTGGGAGGGTGGCCTCACACCCCCTGGTGCTCAGCGGGCTCAGGGATCCCGGCCGGCCCTGGCAAGCGTTGTGCCGCCGTGTGCACCAACACCCCTGGTACACGTGTCCAGTGTGCTGGAAGGGGAAGGGGAGCCGGGATGCGAGTGCTGTGACAGACGGCTGCCGCCACCTGTCCTCGGGCCAGAGCTTGCACTGGGAAGTCTGCGTGTGCTTCCATGGGAAGAGCGTGCCAGGCTGGGCGAGGCGGGGAGTGGCAGGAGCCGGCGCTGCTCGCCTGCTTCGGCCCTCACCTGGCTCCTGAACGCGGTGTTGGGCTGGTCCCGGGCCAGGTGATCTGGAAGGACGTGTTTTCGCCAAAACCAGTCTAGCAGCTGAGGGTAGCAGCTGCTCCTGCCAGTTTTGAGGAGCAGTACCCCACCTTCTCCCGCGGAGACCCACGCGCCTCTGCGGGCACCCGGCTCTGGCGCTGCGTCCTGACTGCCCTTCCCAGCCCGTCCTCACTGCTCTTCTCTTTGGAACCTCCTTTGACTAATAAAGCTTTTACCAGGCAAACCAGAGCGCCCCGGCTCTGAGCACACACAGAGGTCTGGCTCTGGGCTCCAGCAGGACCTCCTTGAGCTCGTGTTTTTTTGGTTGTTGCTTGATTTTTTTTTTTTTTAAACATCTCTGTAAACTTTTCTCTCAAATACATTTTGGATTCACACTAAAGTGGAGCAGAGAGAAGGGTTTCCATATGCCCTGTCTCCATCCATCCAGCCTCCCCTGTCACTGTCCCATGTGGAGGGATAGAAGTTCCTTTTGCCCCACCACCCACCCCTCCCTCCTTCTATTCCTGCAACAGCTGATCTTGCTGCTCTGACAAGTCGCAGTCCTAGAAACCCTTACCTGTTTGTGAGCTCAGAGAAGAGAATTTCGGAGTCATTGCCATTACTGCTCGTTCTTACTGAGAAAAGGTTTTCTCGGGTGAATGAATGAGACTGTGCATGTGCTCCCTGGACAGGTGTGTTTAGAAAGCAGGAGCCCAGCCTTGCAGCTGGCCAGGCGCTGTGTGTCCAGTGTGGCGGAGCTCTGTGTACCCACTGCGGCTGGAACAAAGCTGGAGAGGAGGGAGCGTAGGGGGGACATGGGTGGAGTGTGGACCAAGGTCATCTACTGTCCTGTTGCCACGATGGAAATTTTAGGGTTTAATCTGAGTGATAGGAACATACTGAAACATTTCATTTAGGGAAATGATAGGCTTTGATTGACATTTTCTGGCTGCTGCTAGGTTTGGTGACTATATTAGAGAGAAGTTGTTTTTGTTGGGAATTGTATTTGATTGCTGGTAACAAATGCAGTCTGTAGGCAAAAGAAAGCAGGTTTTTATAATCTCCACCGTGTCATCAGGAAACCTTGGCTTTTGTGGGTTTCCACTAGCTGCTCTTATCTTCATGCTTTTAAGGTGGCTGGCTGCCAGAGCTCTAGCTGTCAAATTGCAGCTCCAGGAAGCAAAAGGAGAGAGAGAGAGAGAATGTGTTTAAGTGGCCGCCACACTGCTGTCTCAAGTACAACTGAGGTTCTCTATGAGAATGAAATGGGCTTGGATGTTGGTAGGAAGTCAGTATCGGAGGGCAAGACTGGAGGTGAGGGCTGCTTGGATGGGGCTGCTGGTGGCCGAGGTGACCCGCGGACAGGTAGGTGGGGCAGGTGGCATTCAGCGCTGTCAGCACCCTCTCACAGACCGCTCTTCCCAGGGCCTCTTGACTGATGAATACATAGGATTTCTGCGGGACTACTTAACAGCCAAGGCCCCTAGGATTGCTGGAGTGGGTCACATGCAGCGCACACGCGAAAGAGAACTCATTGCCCCAGACTGCGGGAGCTGCCTCAGACCGCCTTCCCCACTGACAGTGGAGTGCACCCCTGTGCCAGGCTGGTGAAGGCAGTGTGTGTGCCTGTCTCCCGCACGGAGGCTGGCCCTGAGAGCCAGCTCTGCACAGCCTGGGCACCCACACCTTACTCCATGATGCTGTCTCCTCTTCCCCCTCCCAGCTTCTCTTCCTGGCTTGTTCTTGCATCTGGTATTGCATTTAGAGTTAGGATCATGTCCTTGCTGTGGGGGCGTCTGGACTGACTGTCCCTGTGGATCCCAGTGCAGGGCTGACTTGCAGGCTGACGCCTGTTTCTATAAATAGCTGTGTTGGCACCTGGCCAGGCTCACCCATGTAGGAGTCCTCTCTGCTGCTGTCAAGCTGCCGAAGGGACTCCAGGAGCAGCAGAGCTGAAAATAGCACCTTTATGAAAAAGGGTGTGATTTCCGCCCAGGATGTACCAGTCCCTGGGGAAGCAAGGTGCTCCCTGGGGGAATGGGGAGCCTGTCCAGCACACTTCAAGGCCAGAAGGGGAGGTGCACAGGCCTTGCAGCAGGAAGGTGGGCTAACAGGTGAAGGCTGGAGCCCCACTCTTACCAGAGTCTCCCCAGTATGCAGGTGCCCAGCGAGTCCTTCCTGTGTGGGTGGAATGGATCTGTGGGGTGCCAGATGCAAAAGTAATAAATAAAATAGACATACGGAAGAGCCTACTAGGCCCACAATGCTGCCTAGGTTGAGCCATTCTGTGTGCTAAGCTTTGGGGGCCAGAGCAAGATTCTAGATTCTAGATTCAGAGCAAGATTCAAGATTCTAGCTTAGAGACCCGTGGAAGATGAGGAAGGAGCCCTGAGGCTTCCTGGGGCACAGTGACCTGCCTCGGAGGTTTGGTTTGACCTGGGGTGTCTGGAGCAGCGGGCAGCTGGACAGGTGCTGGTGGACAGGAGGTGATGGGGGCCCTGGGAAGCTGAGCTAGGGAGGATTGCTGCCTGTCAGACACCCCTGAGGCGAGTGAGGTCAGGGAGTGGTGGGGGTGAGGGGAAGTTTCCACAGACAAGCCCAAGGTGATAGACCTGGAAATTGTTGGCTGGATGCGGGTGGAGGACTGTGTAGTCAGTGAGAACTACATGCGTTTCCACATCAGGGAAGGTCCAGGCTACTCTGCTGTCTTGTAGAAGAGGGAACTGAGTGGGTGATGAGGGACCCTCCCTGAGGACAGCACGTCTGCGAAGTGTGGGAGCTGGTCTAACTTGATTGCGTTCCCCAAACATTGTGCACAGGGGTCTACCTCTGTGTGGGCCGGCAGCGGGAAGTGGGAAAGGCCCCATGGCCGTCTTGCAGGATCCTGGACGAGCCCTCTGTCCGGTCAGATCCCTGTATTCCCTGCCAGAGTGCCTCCCTGGTCTGGATGTACTTCAGATGACCCAGACTGGGCAGGTGGCCAGGGCTGGGGCAGGGTGGGGTGCAGTGAGAGCTGCGGCCCCTTGCTTGCATTTATCTGTTCAGCGTGGCTGTCCAGCGACCGTCAGTGCCCAGACCCTGCTCAGCTCCTGCAGGCTTCTCTGGGGGCTAGCGGAAGGGGCCACTGGGGACAGCCCATCCCGGCTGGAAGTCAGCCACCGTTCACAGCAAGGGAGCATGTCTGTACACACATTTAGCCTTTCCTCAGCCTCTGGTCTTTCACTCAGGTCCTCCTTTCGATGAGCTTTACAGGAACTGCGAAGCAGAGCCTCGGGAAACTGAAACCCTGACTCTGCTTCCTTCCTTCCATCGCCTTAGGCACCGGACACAGCAGCCCTGCGGCGAGGGCACAGGGTGCCCACTCCTCAGTGTCCCTGGCCCATGCTGGGCCCCGTCACAAGTCTGCCCTGAGTCCCAGCCAGCCTGAGGGTGAGAAGCACTAGCCCCATAATTCTGGCAGTGCTCCGTGTCTGCACGCTGTTCCCCCTGGCACCCTCAGAGTGGGTGGCTGGGATGTGAGGAGACAGCTGTGGGGGAACCCAGAGCGAACAAAGCAGATGCCGTGACCTCCACTTCTGGACTTGTAACCCCTTCCTTTTACTCTCTTCCAGTATTCTGAAGCCCACAAAGAAGAAGCAGCCATTTGCAAAGCACCGAGTGGCCCTTGACATCGCAGCGTGAGAGAGACCCTTCTGCAGTGCTGGGCAATGCGGGCCCTCTGCAGTCCTACTGCCCACCAGCTCCAGGCTGTGCTGCCAGTGCCCGTCCAGCGGCAGTGAACGGTGCCCTGCCGCCTGGCCTCCCTGCCCAGGAGTTTGCTGCCTGCGCCCTCCAGCTGCGAGCCTGCCGTGAGGATGCTGCTCCTAGCACTCGCCGTGGTGCTGGGGACAGCGGTGGCCTTTGCACCCATGCCTCGGATCACCTGGGGACACAGAGGTGAGGATAGCGGCCGGCATGTGCTGTGCGGAGGCTCCACTCGCCCTCACGCTGCTGGGGTTCCTGGCAGTCTGGCCTGAGCAGGTGGCTGGCTTGCTCCTGCCCGGGAGATGCTTCTGGACCTAGAGATGCTCACGTGCTGTGTGGCGCCTGCTGATCTGGTCTCTGAGCCCGGGGAGCCTGAAAGGAAACTAAGCCCCCCTATGCCTGGTGGTCTTGACATGTGTCCAGGCGCAGCGCCCCGGGCTTGTGCCCGGGCCCCCAGCATGGGCCATGGCGTGAGGACACTGGGCTGCAGGGGACACTCAGCTTCAGTAAGCTGTGACATTTGAAGCTCACTTGTGTCCACTTCTGCTTCTTTTTTGGGGGAGCTCGGTCCTGGATCCCCGGTCTCCCAGGCTTAGGGGAGGACCCAGAACACAGCTCTGGTCCTGAACAAGGTGGACTGACGGCTGAGAGCTGTCCACTGCAGCCTGTGCCTGTGGGGAGAGCCTTGTCAGCCCCTCTCAACCAGGGAGGGGAGAGCAGAGAGCTCAACCATTAAACAAAACCAGTAGATGGAGACCAGATTCAGCACACTCCAACTGATGCTGGGCTGGGAGAAAAAAAAAAAAAGCTGTAAAAGTAATGCCGGTGCATTTACATTAATTCTAAGTTAAGTTGCTCACATCCCCAAATAGCTATTGATGTGATTAGCCAACAAGTGAGAAAACAGCCCCTGTTTCTATTTTATAAGTTTTGGGTGTTTTTGCTGAAAACACTGGAGTGAGGCATATAGTCACTGAAAATTGTTTCTAAAGGTTTAGAGGTAAATCACTTTCTTCTTAAGATGACCGTGGATAATTATGTAGTTATGTTCTTTATGCATCTGCCTGTCTGTGGACGAGTAAACACGTATAGACAAGAGTCTGATGGGAGGCAGAGGGAGCCCTTGTCAGTATTGGGCCAAATAGACACGTTGGGAAAGTGGGGTCACACTCCGGGCTCATGTGCTGGGAGCTTACATCCCGGGGGTCACTTCCTGGGAGGCTCTGTCAGAGGTCCTGTCGCTGCGAGTCGTGTATACCGAGGCTCTGTTCTGGTGGCACGCTCCTGGAGGGGTCTCACTGAGTGCAGGCTGGGGTGGGCTGGAGCAAGTAGCCAGGGAACTTTGGCAGTATTCTGGTCAGCGTGGGGCTCTGGGCCTTCCTGGGCCCCATTTGTTGGCTGGCTCAGGGTGGAGGGTAGGCTGCAGGTTGCTAGGCCCAGAGGAGCTTGAGTTCTGCCTCTGCCTGGCAGCTGACTGTGGCAGTGGCTCCTTGCACGGTGCTTGGGGCATGTCAGTGCAGGGAATGAGTGGACACACCGGGTGTCCGGCCTCAGAGGTGCCTGATGCTAACTCTCCCCCCAGAGGTGCAGCTGGTGCAGTTCCACGAGCCTGGCATTTTCAACTACTCAGCCCTGCTGCTCAGCGAGGACAACAACACGTTGTATGTAGGTGCCCGGGAAGCCGTATTTGCTGTGAGCGCGCAGAACATCTCCAAGAAGCAGCACGAGGTAGGACACAGGCTCCCCACTCTCTTGCTGCTGGTTCATGACAGGACACTGGCTCCTCCCTGGCATCAGGCCGTCTGGCCCCATCTGGCCTGCAGACGTCCTGTGTGTTCCCAGGAACAACCTCTCACCTGCCCACGTCCCGGTGCTCCAGCACCTGGAAGATTTCTTTTGACCCTGCGAACAGCCCCATTGAGAGCCATCCAAAGCCTTGTCTTCCCCAACTCCTGGTCACCCAGGGAACAGCCTTATTTTACCTCTTATACCTGAAGTTTGACTATGAAAAATCTCCAGCGTAGAGGGTGTAGAATGAAGCTCCTGAACCATTGCTCTGTGGGGAAATACCTGCTTCGCCTGCCATCATGTGCTGTGAACTGAGCAGCTTTTATGTTAAGTGTCTCTTGCTTAAGGGCAAGTGTGCACTGAAATGGACTCTCATTCATCCCAACAGGCCTATTGGAGGGTCTCGGAAGATAAACAAGCAAAATGTGCAGAGAAAGGGAAGTCCAAACAGGTAATTTCTTTTGCAAGCTACAAAAACCTGTCGTGCGAATTTCCTAATTATTGCAACTTTGTGAGACCGCTGCGTCTGAGACACGTTCAGGCTGCCTTGTGCCGGGTGACTATGCCAGGGCCATCTAGCGGGGCCCTGCTCCTCTGTCCCCAGCACAGAGGTGGCGTCCCTCAAAACAAGGGCCAAATGAAGTCAGGCCAGAGAGAAATACGTTCTAAAGTTGAACTGAATTGAGTGTATTCAGATCACCTAAACTTGGACCACCTAACGATGTAAAATGCAGGGGCCACGGCTCCCCCATACTCCAGTAGCCTTCGATCTTGTAGGATTTCTGCATCTGTGGAAACCCCAACCCTCGAGAGTCCCCTCGGGGAGCACTGCCTGAGAGTGCACCCTGCCCCCCACCAGAGCTCAGGGCCACTGTGCCGCCCCCGCCCCCACCCCCAGGCCAGCATGCCCCTAGCGGGAGCTGGTCCCACGTCAGCCTCGCAGAGGGTAAGAGCCCTTCTGCCTTCACAGTTGTTCAGAGGAGCCAGGTTACGGTAAATTTCAGCGAATTACAATTGGCTGTTTTTCAAAAGAACAAAAAAGGCCTCTTAAAATTCTTTTTGCTGAACTTTCTTAGCAGAGTTCTAAACCCTTTAACTAAATCCCTCAGCCCAAAGTTACTTTAGGAAATGAGGAAAAATGCAGGCACTGCGATGTAATGACAGGCCGTGCTGGGAGTTGTCTTACAGCTAAATGAGGCCAAAAGCTTTGCCGGCCCTGCACAGACCAGACCAGGGGCCGCCCAGTTTTTGCGGGGGAGGTGGATGGTGAACCGCTGCCAGCCAGTTTACAAACAATTATAGCAAAAAAAAAAAAAACCAACCTTCCCTGAGCAGAGATAATTTCAGACTCTGCAACATAAAACCCAAGTGTGGTGTCCACTGGCAGAGTGAATGGGTGCCTGCGTGGCATCAGCTGTCCCGTTGGGCCATTCTGATGGGAGCGAGGTCCAGGCACCCGGCCGCTCGTGACCCTGGCTCCCCCCACCCCAAGCTGGGTGGGCCACACACACCCCCCTCCAGAGAAACAGTCTTCCCAGCTCTGTACATCAGGCCGTGGAGGGTTGGGCCCCTCAAAAAAAAGACAGTGGGGCCCTGCATAGAGTGCAGCCTGTGAATTTGTCAGCCCAGACATTGGTGTGTTTAGGGAGTGTAAGATGTTTTCTACTGTGGGTATTTCCAGAAAGCTTAGTAGTCAACTGGCATTGCTTTTTGGCCACCAGATAGTTGCTGAGTAAAGTAACTGCAGTGAAATCACTTGTACCCTGGCCAGCCTCAGGTATTGGTTTGTCCAGGGCTGAAGTGGGCCTCCTGGCCGGTCCTCAGGTGCTGGGTGAGCGGTCAAGTGTGTGGAAACGGAGCCTGGGAGGGCAGAGGACAGGGTGTGCGCCTGCTTGGCTGTGTCTGACGTAGGCGGCCTTGGCAGCTGGGAGAGCAGGACGTAGGAGCTGATGGTGCATTTCTCTCCTGTAGACAGAATGCCTCAACTACGTCCGAGTGCTGCAGCCACTTGATGCCGCGGCCCTGTACGTGTGTGGGACCAACGCCTTCCAGCCCACCTGTGACCACCTGGTGAGCTCGGGCAGCATGCTGGCTGGAGAGCCGTGTGGGGCCTGGCTCTGTGGCCTCCACTCTGCGCAACCACAGATCTTGTGTCTCTGGGGAGGGGCAGCCTGTGCTTCTCAGAATGCCCACTGCTGCCTCGCTGGACTCGAAGTCTGGGGTCCTGTCTGCAAACCTCCATAACTGAGGGTGTGGCTCGGGACAGGACTCCGGAGACAACCTTCTGTGGTCAGAGCGGCTAGGGCTTTCGGGAGAAGCACCCGTATGCCCAGGGCCTGCAGGAAGCTCCTTGTCCTCACCCTGTCCTGTGATTCGTGGGAGAGGCCTAGCTATGATTCGCTCCTCCTGGATTGTGTGCTCTTGGTTCATGTGTATTATAGGCTGAAGTCTGTGAGTCCCCCATATTCATGCTTAAGCTATAGCCCCCAGTGACAGTATCTGCGATGGTGATAGAGGTCACATGAGGCCATGGTGCAAGGTCCTGATGCAGTGGGCCTGGTGCCCGGATAGGAGGGAAGAGACTCCAGAGCTCTCTTCAACACGTGAGGACACAGTGAGAAAGTGCCATCTGCAGGTCAGGGATGGGCCTCAGCTGCTGGCTCTGAAGCTCCCTGTCCCCACACCCAGCCCCAGAGTCAGACACAATGTGGTTGCAGCTGCCTGCGATAGTGCTTTACAGCAGCCTGAACCAGCTGGGCTGGCTTGGGACATTACCACCCAGTGGTGTCTGGTCACCCACTGACCCGAAGTCCCTAGAATCCACCCCTCTAAGGAGTGGTGACATGGTACATGCATGCAGCTGTATTTTAAAGATTTATTTCATTTATGCATACAAGAGCCGGGTATAGGCCAGGGGTGTGTGGTTGGGGGAGGGGGGGAAGGATTCACCAGAGATAGAATGGGGAGCAGAACAGGCAGATCCGCTGAAATACACTGTTAAGGGTAGCAGTAGAGTAGGTCAGGAGAGGTCTTCTGTGCCATGTGGGTCAGCTCCCTGTCTGGGGACCAAACTCGTGCTGCAGTGGCTGGTGATAGCTTCATAGTGCTGTGCATGAACCCCTGTGCCTCCAGGGAGGACCTGTTATTTTAAATTGAAGTGACCTTGGTTTGAGACACTGTAGATCTCAGGTGAGCAGTCTTACATTCGGCATCTGTACACACTGTCACCACCGAAGTCGAGTTTCTCTTATTACTCCTGGGATTCAGGCACATTGTGATACCCTTTCTTTTATTCCATTGTAGAACTTAACATCCTTTACATTTCTGGGAAGAAATGAAGATGGCAAAGGCAGGTGTCCCTTTGACCCGGCCCAGAGCTACACCTCAGTCATGGTTGGTGAGTTGTGGGCAGGTGTGGCATCTGTTAAGGGCAGAGCAGGGAGCTTGGCCCCTGTCCCCATCAGCAGCCCCCTCTGCTGCCTTCCCGAGTCCCCATCCTCACACATCCCTGGACCTTCTCTTTGAGCACACGCCTGTCTCGGCTGCCAGGCACCGGTTAGATTTCTGGGAGGTTATGTTCTCACCCTCCGGTTATCCGGCCTGTTATGTGTATGCTTCTTTTGAAGGGAGTTTGTGGGGCGCTGCATCCTGCCTGGCAGTGGTCCGGGTGGCTGCGGCGGGCAGGCCACAAACCTGCCAATACCATCTTTAGATTCGCTACTTTATTATGCCATGGCATGACTGGCTTCTCTTAGTTATTGCACCAACTCTCACAAAATACTGAACACGGAGTATCTATATCAAGGAAATGAAAGGGAATAATCCAGAAGCAGAAAAGTGCTTCCCGGTGCAGGTGGTGGGCTCTCGGTGGCTTCGGCAGGCCGTGTCTGGTTCAGCCAGCCCCCACAGCTGGTGTTAATTCCCCTTTCCTCTTCCCTCCTGGGCCACTGAAGATGGAGATCTTTATTCTGGAACATCCTATAACTTTTTGGGGAGTGAACCCATCATCTCCCGAAATTCTTCACACAGCCCTCTGAGAACAGAGTACGCAATACCCTGGCTTAACGGTAAGTGGCCGGCAGCCACAGGAAGGTGTGTGTCCACCCGTGGTGGGTCCGTCCCCCTCCCAGCCCCACTGTACGTCCCCAGCCTCGTGTGGGGGTGTCTGGGCCAGTGCTGACCTCAGGGACAGGGCAGCTGCTGCTCAGTGCTGCTTCCTCGTTTCTGCTCCGAGGCACTGGGTCTGGGAGACCCGTGAAGAGACAACATGGAGCTCAGGCTAGTGGCGGGACGCCTCATGTCCCGGTGACCCCAGTGCACAGAGGCCTTCGCCCTTGGGCCCCGGAGCTTGATCAGATGAGCGCCGAGGGCCTGTCTGTGTAGGTTTCCTGCTGGAGACAGCACCAGCTGTGCTCTGAGGAGGCTTTTCTCATGGGTGCCAGCCAGGCCCTGGGCTTGTAGTCCACCCGGACACACAGAGGTGGGTGATCTGGGGCATGGGGACAACTGGCCAGCCAGGCAGCCGGAGCCTTCAGGATCCGTGTCAGGTTGTCGGTTCGAAGCAGGCGCTCACATCCAGCAAACTCCCGGAGAACTCGGGGATGGGGAGTGCTGGCTCCCTGGGTTCTGAGCTGGAGCTGTGGGGTGAGCTGAGCTGGGAGGGCAGGCAGCAGACCATGTGGCCGAAACCTAAGGCTGGCATGGGGAGCATGGGCACATCTGGGACGTTGTGCCATGAACACTCAGGACTGGAGTGTGGGTGTGGCAGGTGTTCCTGGCATGCCGCTGGGGTGCTGGCCCTCCCCTCCCCACGCATGGTAACTAGCTGTCTTCCCCCCAGAGCCCAGCTTCGTCTTTGCCGACGTGGTACGAGAGAGCCCGGACAGCGCCGATGGTGGGGACGACAGGGTCTACTTCTTCTTCACTGAGGTGTCTGTGGAGTATGAGTTTGTCTTCAAGCTGCTGATCCCAAGGGTAGCGAGAGTGTGCAAGGTAGGCCTGCTCCCCCAGGTCCTCTCTGGCCCAGCTCTGCCTTGATCACGTCTGAAAGAGCCCAGCTTCCAGCTTGCTCTGGAGGGTCCATTTACCCACCGTGTCAGTCTTCTGTTCCACACTTCAGTGCAGGTGGGGCCCGCCATGGGCAGACCAGCCTGCCCAGAGGGCGGTGGACTCCCTGAAGGTCACTGCCTGCTTGGAGGGGTGAGCGTCTGACCTTCTAGACCACAGGTGTCTTTTGGATTTCAGGGGGACCAGGGTGGCCTGAGGACCTTGCAAAAGAAGTGGACGTCGTTCCTGAAGGCTAGGCTGATATGCACCAGGCCGGACAGCAGCCTGGTCTTCAACGTGCTGCAGGACGTGTTCACCCTCAAGTCTCCGGGGAAGGAGCCCGTGTTCTACGGCGTCTTCACCCCACAGCTGTGAGTGCTGCTGGCGGGTGTGGGGGGTGCTCGCTGCATCCCACCCCCTCGGGCACTCAGGTCACCCCTTCCTCTCCAGGAACAACGTGGGGCTGTCGGCCGTGTGTGCGTACAACGTGTCCACAGTGGAGGCGGTCTTCTCCCGCGGGAAGTACATGCAGAGCGCCACAGTGGAGCAGTCCCACACCAAGTGGGTGCGCTACAACGGGCCGGTGCCCACGCCGAGGCCCGGCGCGGTGAGTGGGGCCCGAGCGCGGCGAGTGGGGCCCGAGCGCGGCTGGAGGCATGGGGCTGGCTGCCGTGCCTCTGAGCTTAGGGGTGCTGGGCCAAGCCCACGCGGAGCAGGCCTCACCCCCTCCTTCTGAGTTCTGCTATTTTGCAAGTCACATCACAGCCAGTGTTGCCACATTCTGCCCGACCAGAGGCTGCCCGGCTCCTGGGGGGTTTGTGAGTTGGCCTTACTTAACATCGTTAGGTCTGTTTAATTTTCTGCTTCTGGAGAAACACATAATTTCTTGGCAAAGTCCCCTGTGTTGGGATCAGCTACACTTGTCAGATCATCACTCTGAGTCATATTTCTTCCTCCTAAAATTAGAGCATTTTCCCCTGAATTGGGTGCAGATTTCTAGACTGGCTGGCTGGCATCCGTTCATTCTGGGGCTGGGGTGGGCCGTCACCCAGCAGACAGCTGGTCCTTGGGGCTCACTCCTGGTGCAGCCTCCCCACCGCCAGGGCGCACCGCTGGCTCCGGCCCTCACTCCAACCCTGCTGATCATGGAGTAAGACTGTGCTCGCTTGTGCTTATGAGTTCACACACATCAGGGAGCAAGGGCTGAAGAAAAGAATTCTTCACGCTCTGACTGTTAAGCTGTTCAGAATTAGGCTGTTTTTTGCAGTTCTAGCAGTCTTCTCACAGGAGGGCTGTTGAGCGTGGCTCGTGTTTACTTTCAGTTTCAACAGCTTGATTCATCTGTTTAATGTATGACTAGACAGAGAGTGCTTCACTGGGATGGAACGCGCGCTTATCTTACCGATAAATCATCTCCAAATGCTGTAGAAGCACCTTGAGATTCCTGGGAGAAAGTCACCTCAGTTTCTCCCTGTCCAAGAAGCGTCATCCCCAGCCGTTGCAGCTCCGGGGCCCCAGCTCGCCGGGCTGTCCGGGACGGCTGCTGACGCGATGGTCTGTCCCCACAGTGCATCAATCGCGCTGCGCGTGCCGCCAACTTCTCGAGCTCTCTGAACCTCCCAGACAAGACCCTGCAGTTTGTCAAAGACCACCCCCTGATGGATGACTCCGTGATCCCTGCGGATGGCAAGCCCCGGCTCGTCAAGAGTGATGTGAACTACACACAGATCGTGGTGGACAGGGCCCAGGCCCTGGACGGGACAGTCTACGATGTCATGTTTCTCAGCACAGGTGGGTCCTGGCCTGTGGTAGCAAGCCCCGGAAAGTCAGCTCAGTCTGCTGTGAGGGGTCAGCACCGCCCCATGCAGCCCCAGCAGCTTCTTAGTGGGCAAATAGAAGGATTCCTGAGAGGGGCCACACCTGTGTGGCTTCAGAGGACCGTGACCTTCAGACCACCTGGGCGCTGGCTCTGCTTCAAGCCCTGGCTCAAAACCGGAAGTTCAGGTCTGGTGGGCCCGCTAAGCTGCAGGTGAGCACACCACCTGCCGGGCTGCAGACCTGTCCTGACCTGTCAGGGAGGCGTAACTTCCTGGTAGCCTGTGGCCTCAAAGCCAGCGTCTTCAAGGATGATGAGGGGCGGTGGCTGGGCTGGGCGCAAGGCTGACAGGGCGCTGAGGTCACCCCTGTTGCTTTCTGGCGGTGCCGCTAGCAAGACAGGGCCCGTGCTTCCCTGCCTGGGGCCCCTCATGGG